TAAGTGACATGTCGCTACCGGTATCTCACTACTGGTTATGAAGTGACATGTCATTACCGGTATCTCACTCCTAGTTGTGAAGTGACATGTCGCTACCGGTATCTGACTACTGGTTATGAAGTGACATGTCACTACCGGTATCTCACTGCTGGTAATGAAGTGACATGTCACTACCGGTATCTCACTCCTAGTTGTGAAGTGACATTTCGCTACCGGTATCTCACTCCTAGTTGTGAAGTGACATGTCGCTACAGGTATCTCACTGCTGGTTGTGAAATGACATTTCGCTAACGGTATCTCACTCCTAGTTGTGAAGTGACATGTCCCTACCGGTATCTCACTCCTAGTTGTGAAGTGACATGTCCCTACCGGTATCTCACTCCTAGTTGTGAAGTGACATGTCGCTAACGGTATCTCACTCCTTGCTAGTTGTGAAGTGAAATGTCGCTAATGGCATATCAGTGCGGTATGGTTAGGGTCATAGCAACATGAAAATTTCCTGATGACATTAAGAATGCATCGTTTGCTCATTATACACTTTTCCATTTGAATGCAGGAAGGAATAGTTGGGAGACTATATTACAGAGCTTCCGACAGAAGAAGAGGAGAACGAAGGTGAGCTTTAACATGACATGGACACAACATTTTGCTTATTTCATTTATCCGAGATTTCGTCATATAACCTGCTTAGTTGCGTTTGCATTGGATTTCACACGATTAAGTTATAATCTACAAAATTATGTGGTTTTTTTTATCAAATATGTACAAAATTGCAGAGAGAGTACGATGAAATGTGTAAGATGGCAGCGACAAAGAGGAGGATTGAATGGAAGAGGGAGAATGCAGCGAGGAAGAAAGGAGGGAAAGGGGAGAGCAAGGCGATAAAGAGGGTTACAGAGGAGGTAAGCTTTGTGCCTTCTAGGATATTTACCGTATTTGTGCTAAAGGAACGGAGGAGGAAAGCTTTGTGCCTTCTAGGATATTTACTGTATTTGTGCTCATCAATAAGGTTCACCCAAATCCAATAATAAAATGACTATTTTGTTTTCAGATTTTAAACGAGGTATTACTAGAGCTGGCGAAGGAGGTGGTAATCGAAGAGAAAGGCTTAAGTAAGTTTACTTAAGTATGACTAAACCAGATGCAGAGTTCTTGACATGACACATGAGGAAGGCGAAGTTGGGGTAGGATAGAGATAGCATCTGGTGCCATCCACCTAGTACTAAACAAATGTTATAGTCCTTAAATGTTGATCACCTAGTTTCATGTTTATAGAATCTTTGGCTAGTATGGTCCTTTATAAGTTCTTTTAACAGAAATTGAGCAAGAGGCAGAAAAAGAAAGAGTGGGTGAGTAAGAAAAAGGGGGAGGAAGAAGAGAAGGAGAAAAAAAGAGTAAGGAAAGTGGAGAAAGAAAAGCGGAGGAGGAGCGTTATAAAATATTTGGACGTGTTCTCCACTGTCCGTTTGTGCTAGATTTCTGTTAAAATAACTTAACCACGTAGTTAGGATGCATCAGATTTATTCGTTATGTATGATAAAGATACAATACAAATCAAAGTGAAATTATGTACACTTAAACAGTACTTCTGACCGCTGATCAATATAAGTCAAATACTTGGTAGCGTGAATTAATATACAGCAAGTCAAAAGCGATCACCCAAAATACAATGAGCTGGCCTTTAATGTAATCTACATTACAGAGAGTCTGAGTATTACATAAAGTCTTACTAGCTGAACATCATATAGATAGAAACAACAACTTATCGTTAACAGCCAAATGAATAGCTTAACGCTTATATTATTTATGTAAACCCTATGTAATGAAAGTTTTCCTGTTCACCGAAATCACGGCCGATACAGGTTATCAGACAATTATTTATAATAAATCCTACTTTCATAAATATTTAAATTTTCCTGTGACAATCTTATTCAAGATCCGACACAAGTTATAACATAAACCGTTATTTAACTAATAAAATGCTAAACGCCACTTCTAAGGTTATTTGACAGTCTGTTCACATTACGTGACTAAATCTGTATACAAAGATAGTGATCTGAAATATATGATAAAACTAAACTAATGTTATTTTCCGTGACAACTCAGGACCATTGTAACAGTTATAGGAAAAATACACTAACAAAATCTAACTGTTAAAAAGCATACCTTCTAACTCGAGTTGTCTCCCCTGACCCATTCTCAGACTCAGCTCCAACTGACACATCGCCTTTTATAGTGACATTCGCTGCAACGCCATATAATATCAACGTTCATACAGGCAACACAAAAGAACAATATTTACACAATATAATCCCTGAAATATTACTATAATTTTACAATATCTTATATAGTTTCCATCAATATAAATAGGCTAAGATATAGTACGAACGAACCGGAAGCGACCCGCAGTCAAAGTAAACAACTTTAACGGACATGTTTGCGAGGGAAAATGCACAACATAAATTACCGACATAACGCTTACAAGTCACCAGCCGCGAAGATATGACTTCTGTCCTAGAATATGGATATATAACGTGAATACAGATAAGTTTCTAGAACATACAATAGGATAATGGAACGAATATCCATTTCCACTTGTATAAAGTTACACAGTGAATACTTTTACAACAAGGAGGAGGATGAGAGAAGAGAAGGAGGAGCCGGACCAAAAGAGGATGATGAGAAAGGAAAGGAAAGAGAGGAAAAAGGTAATCATTGATATCATCTGGTAAGTTTCCGCAGGACAACAAAAATGTTCAATCTGTTATTATATGCATTGTGGCAAAAGATCTTAAAAAAGTAATAAAGAACAACATATTTATATCGAGTTGAGCATCGACTTATTTCGGTCCTTAAAATTGGATCACACTCACAGATTATCGACCTGTCAAATCGATATATTGTGATCCAAATTTTAGGACCGAAATGAATGCGTATTTTGTACAGTACCATCACAAAAGTGACACATACATTCGCATCCTATTCAACAATATCATAAGCAAGCCAAACAGAAGAACAGCGAACATCCATCGGGGGAATTCACCTACAAAGTCCGGGGACCCCCTTGGGCCAGGAAAATAACAAGAATACCAATCAAAATCCAGAGCCAATGAGTGGAGAGGATGAAGCTCAAAGAAAAATTCAACGACATATTGTAAATAACCAGACTAACACCTCGAATTCAGAAAGAAATGTTGTGTTTAATAATTTAAAATGCGTCTACACAGATGCAAATCAATTAAAAAATAAACTTTCAGAACTAACCTTGCGAGTAAACCAGATAAAACCTGAAATTATTGGAATCACAGAGGTAAAGCCCAAGATCAGAACATTGAATATGAAAACACAAGAATTTGCAATAGAGGGCAACACAGATTATACTATGTTTGAGAAAAACATTGACAACAAAATTGGAAGGGGTATGCTGCTTTACTTACACAAATTGCTTCTTGCGAAGGAAATCATTTTAAAAACAACATTCCAAGAAAACATCTTTGTTGAAATAACTTTAAATGCACAAAAACATTACTAATTGGCCTGATATACAGATCAGACAGCGGAACTGAGGAAAACAATAATAACCTGAGAAGCTTGTTAAACGAAGTTTGCAGTTTAGGATACTCCCACTTACTTATTATGGGAGATTTTAACTACCCCGACATCAATTGGGAAACGTGGAATACCAAAGGCGATAGCACTGAAACACAAGAATACAAATTTGTTCAATGTGTACAGGACAATTACCTTTCACAAATAAACGAACAACCAACAAGATGGCGAGGGAAAGATACACCCCATATTTTGGATTTAATTATTACAGATGAGGAGAATTTTGTTTCGTCGATAGAATATCAAAGAGTGACCACAAGGTACTACTTCTAGATGTTAAATGTAAAACTTCTGTAACAGGTAAAAACACAACAAAAATATGCTACAACAAGGCAGACTACGAACAAATTAACAACGAAATTATGAATATTGATTGGAAAAGTGAAATGAAAGAACAAAACACCACCAATGAAAAATGGTCAATATTCAGGAACAAAATACAAGAAATAATAAATAAATCTGTACCAACAAAGACCATCAAACCCCACAAAAATAGCAAGCACACATTTCCAGTGGACCAAGAAACACTCGAAAAAATTAGAAAGAAACATGCTTTGTCGAAAAAAGTGGCGGCCACAAATGACCCAGAAGTGAAACCGCAATACTACAAGGTTCGAAACCAGGTTAAAAAGCTGACTCGGAAACTACGAAAGGATTATGAGCAGACACTGGCAACAAAGGCAAAATCGGACCCAAAATGATCTGGAAATATATTAACTCAAAATCAAAGTCAAAAGTGGAAATTGGAGATCTATATGAAAATCCGAAAGACAATAAATCAAACAAAGTCACCACGGACAAAGAGAAAGCTGATATACTAGCCAACTTCTTCCAGAGCGTGTTTGTACAAGAGGATGGAGGGGAAACCCCTACCTTACCAACAAAGGAAACCCAAAGTGATATGCCATGGCTTAAAATAGACAGTGAAAAAGTTATCAAGGTATTACAAAACTTAAAATCGAACAAATCGCCGGGATTGGACAATATGCACCCCGAGTTCCTAAAGAACTCTGCAGTTGCAGTGGCGCACCCACTCGTAATTATTTTCAACCAAACACTCGAAACAGGGAATATTCCAGATGAATGGAAACATGCTCGTGTGTGCGCAATCCACAAAAAAAGGAGACAAAAGTGTCGTGGAAATTACAGACCAGTCAGCCTGACATCAGTCGTATGCAAGGTATTGGAAACAATTGTGCGAGAACACATCAACAAATTTATGAGAGCAAACAATTGCAAAACAATACGGTTTTATATCGGGAAGATCAACATCATTGCAGCTGTTGGAGGTATTGGACAAATGGACTGATGCGATGGATAAGGGATTTGGAGTGGACTGTATATACATGGATTATCAAAAAGCTTTTGATACTGTTCCACACAGACGTTTAATAAACAAGTTACACTCATACAATATCTCAGATCAAACGATTAAGTCGATAGCAAGTTTTCTAAGCGGACGTAAACAACAGGTATCAGTAAAGGAAGTACATTCAGAATGGACTGATGTTGCATCAGGAATTCCCAAGGGATCAGTGCTCGGACCTCTACTATTCGTCATATTTGTAACTGATCTGCCAAATGTAACAAACTCGGACATGTACTTGTTCGCAGATGATACCAAGATATTTAAAATAATAACAAAGAAAGAGGACGAATACGCACTTCAGAAGGACCTGGACACCATGGGGACCTGGAGCAACACTTGGCTACTAAGGATGCACCCGGAAAAATGCAAACATATGCACGTCGGGCGATCTACAAAAACCAGGAAGGAACAACGGGATCGTATCAATTACTTGGGAACAATCTACAAACAACAGACAAGGAAAAAGATATTGGCGTTACTGTAGACTCGGAATTGAGTTTTGAAAACACTATCAGCGAAAAAGTAAAAAAGGCAAACCAAATTTTCGGACTGTTAAAAAGAACTTTTAATTTTATTAATTATACCACCTTTCTCCCGTTATACACATGTTTAGTAAGATCACAACTTGACTATGCTAGTTCTGTTTGGGCACCGTATAAAGCAAAAGATATTGATAGAGTGGAAGCCGTGCAGCGCAGAGCAACTAGGAGTTTACCGGGGATGAAAAACTTAACATACCAAGAAAGACTACAAAAGCTGGAACTCCCAACACTATCATACAGAAGGGCTAGAGGGGATATGATTGAACTATATAAGATAATAAGCGGAATATACGACAGGGAATCCTGTAATTTTATTAAACTTTGGAAGGATGTAACAACGCGTCACAGCAGTAGGAGGAATTAAATTCCCGCAACAATTCAAAACTACACTAAGGAAAAACAGCTTTGGTATTAGAACTGTAAAAATGTGGAACGGTCTTCCCGAGGATGTTGTATCGGCACCTAATATAAACACTTTCAAGAATAGACTGGACAAAATATGGAAAAATCAGGAAATACTTTATAATTAAAAGGCAACCATAGATGGAAGTGAACTCTAATATTTAAACATGAGAACATATTACATGTATAATAGAGTCCGGTGTAGAGGAACATATTGTTCCTGTACTGGAAAATAACTATAACTATAACTATACCCAAGTGAGACGATATAAATCACTTGACATACGAGTCAATGATGTTCATAATTTAGTAATGGAATGAAGGGTTCCCTACGTAAAAATGTTCAATATGCTATTCTATGCATTGTGGCAAAAGATCTTAAAAAAGTAATAAAGAAAAACAAATTTATATAGAGTTGAGCAAAAAAACTTATTTCGGTCCTTAAAATTGGCTAACAGATTATCGACTTGTCAAATCGATATATTGTGATTTAAATTTTAGGACCGAAATAACTTAAACAGAAACAACCTACAGAATGCGTAATTTTAACAGTACCATCACAAAAGTGAACATGTTCATCAATATTATACCAAAGACAGAAATTGTGAAAAATTCGATATCATATATCAGGATATATGAGGAGATGGAGGTAAGTATTGAACAGGATATTAGTCTACTGTAAAGTTATGGTAGTATCTTGTAAAGCTGACTCCAACGAACGCAAATACCTCCTTTAAAACAACTGCCCTGGGGTATAATAACGATAAATTTTGGTCAGAGAATAATACTAAATACAAATAGTAGATGAGAAACAAACTTTCACTTGATAGGTGGACGAGAAGGAGGTGGGGGTTGTGAAGAAGCAGGAGGAGATGGAGGTTGAGGTGGAAGAAGAAGAGAAGGGTAAGTATACAAGTAAAACGAAGAGCATAAAAAGATAAGGAACAGAACATGAAATAGCATAAGAATATTAAAACACCACATTTTGTTTCTTTAAATAAGAGGCGAATTAATGTTTTTTGCTGTATACATGTATATAGATACCAGAGTGAAAGAAAGCAAGGCAATACAGGAGGAGAGGGAGGGAGAACAGAAAGAGAGGGAGGGGGAGCAGGAAGAGAGGGAGGGAGAGCAGGAGGAGAGGAAGGGTGAGCAGGACGACTGGGAGGGAGAGCAGGACGACAGGGAGGAACACAGAAGGTAAGTAAGCATGTCCTTGTGATACATTAATTTAGGTTCAATCACACGTAAGGAACAGGAAATGAAATATTGTTACAGAAGGCATAATGATATTGATGATATTATATGTTAAAGGGGCTGGTCGGGGAAAAAAATACAAAATAAATGGGTCTAAATGCGTTCTCTGGCCTTCCAAAAGTTATACCACGGCAATATGATGGTCGAGTTCTGCTTGCAATGTCCAGTTTTGACCACTGAAATCTCGGGGAAGACCCGCGTAAATTTAGCGCAGATCTATTTATATATGTCACGTGGTTGTTTCGAAAATGAGGCAGTGAAGATAACAACAATAGCACGCCGCCATGTGCCATGTCGGACTCAAATAGCGGACAAGACAGCAATACTATACGTAAATAATTGTTTTCAAAGGTCATGTATGATGCATTGGTAGTATTCCTACCTATATGTTGTTGTTATATATAACGGTATTGATACCTCGTGCCTGTCATGACTTTTGCATGCATCTTTTTCTTTCGCCGCGATGTTTACATTTGGCCTTGTTGATGACGCGCGTGCGGTAAAATTACATCACTGATCTGGGTCAATTGAGAGTTTTAGATTGTCAGGTGACGATTTAGGATTTCTTTAATATAGTTATAATTTTTACTCTTAGGGAGTGAATTTCAGCAAAATTTGTATCGGTATATTTTATAAGAAGGTATTTTAAACATGGATGCCATTTTAGCAAATATGACATTTGTTCCCCGACCAGCCCCTTTAATAGAAAGCGAAGACGAATGGCAACCGAGCAGGAATGAAAATAGAGGCTTCAAGGAGGACGAGATAGAGGACGAGGATGGTGAGGAGGAAGAGGAGGAGGGAAGGAAAAGGAGGAAAATAGTTGAGGTATATTTTGTTTAAAAAATGCACAAACCGGCATGTCCTAAACATTTGATAGCTTGTTTAGTACGATTTACTAAAATTTTATTATATAAGTGTAGCTAACCTGATATAATATATATATCATGCTTCTAGTAAGGGATTAGAGTTACTTGAGCAAAATACTTATTTTCACTGTTTTGACATCAGACAGAAGAGGCAGGTGGGGAGGAGGATCAGGAGGTGGAGGGCAGGGGTAAAAAGGTCAGTAAAATCCTATTTGGATTCCAGTTTTACAATAATCGGCCTCGCTGTCAGGCTATGTAATTCTAAGTTCTATTTTTATTTGCTTGACCACGATCAGATCAGGACGAACAGCTTTTATGATGTTCCCCTGAAACAAGTAAGACCACACATCTGATGCTATAACTTACCTATTTCGGTCCTAAAATTTGGATCACAAATTATCGGCCTCAGATGGCAAATTTCATAAAGAAAGCAATATTCTAGCTTTTCGCTTAACAGGTTTACCCGATTTACCAGTGCATTATAGAGCACTGCACTAAGGAGGTGAGTTATCTCCCCCGTCATCTGCGACAAGTAAGTCTTCAAGTGTTTTTTGGGCAATTAATTGAATTGATCGCGAAGCTCGTCACGTTTCATGCTGAGGATTAACTCCGGTTTACACTCGTCAGCGTATAATCTATGCTTACATTTCGTCGTCAGAATATTTCCATGTTTACAATTCCCAAACTGTATTTTTATAAGTAAAATAACTTTCTTTTTTATTTCTGCATTGTAGTTCCCCCAGATGACGAAGGCCGAGGCGGAAAACCACATTCATGTCCTCCGGAATCCCCGTCAATATACTAAACTGGACTGTCCGGAGGCTGAATGTGGTTTAACCATCGTCCGCCTTGACCTTCACCTCATCCGCCAGCACCAGATGATCCGGGGCTCACCTCAGTTGCTGTCAGCGATGACAGCTGGGAACCTGTTCGAAAGGGCTGAGGTGAGAACCACTTTCCTCGACCAGGCCCTGGACGATTATATGTAAGTAAAGACTCCACATTGAGATATAATGTAAAGATATTCGTGTCATAAGTCACGAAAAGTATGCAAAGACAGGGTGTGCCTAATTCAACTTTTCCTTCATTTGCCATTTTACAGGGTCGCAGAGAAAGACCGGTAGAGTCGCGAAAAAAAGTTTCAAATGAAATATAAAGAGCAGTGCTTGCGAAAATTGTTACAATATGGATGAACTATTTTGAGTTATACGAAATGTTCATAATATATACATAGTATAATATTAAAGAACAACAAAATAATATCGAGTTGAGCATCAACGAATTTCGGTCCTTAAAATTGGCTCACAGAATATCGACCTGTCAAGTCGATATATTGTGATCCAAGTTTTAGGACCGAAAATAACTTAAACATGAACAACCTACAAAATGCGTTCTTTTTATAGTATCATCACAAAAGTGAACACGAAGTTTATTTGCATCATGTTCATCAATATTATACCAAGTGAGACGACATAAATCACTTGACATACGAGTCAATGATATTGATCATTTTGTATTAGAATGAAGGGTTCCCTATGTAAAACTGTTCAATATGCTATTCTATGCATTGGGGCAAAAGATCTTTTAAAAATAATAAGGAACAACAAATTTATATCGAGTTGAGCATCAGCCTTTTTCGGTCCTAAAAATTGGCTCACAGATTATCGACCTGTCGAGTCGATATATTGTGAGCCAAATTTTAGGACCGAAAATAACAGAATGTGTAATTTTTACAGTATTAGAATGAAGGTGTCAATTCATTACAGGAACAAGTGCAAGGACCGGCTAACTGGCCGCAAGCTGAACGACACGACCACGGCTAGTCATTCAACTGCGGTCAGGGCGTTCATGCCCAATGGTCTCAGCAGGGACACTCTTAAAGCGGTGGAGACCATTGGGTCGAAGGGAGCACTGGTAGATCTCATGCTACTGATGTGAGGTAAGCTTCTTTTCATTCAACATCAATCCGAATGATCACCTATGGTAAGGAAGGTAGTCCAGCAACAACGACTTTATAAAACTGACCAGGTTTTGAGTACAGCCCGATGTTTAAAAAAATGCATGTATGACAATTATAAGAATCATGTATGGAATATTAGGTTCGTATTTTACATGTACACTGTCAGGTTTATTCACTTTTTTCCCTTACTTTCAGACTGAAACCTGAAACAGTCAAGGTCTACCTGTGCTCCTTGGGGAATTTTGTAGAGTTCCTGTCTGGGTCCTTCAAGTGGCAGCCCCAGTTGAAGGTCCAGGTAGGGTTCCTTCAAACTCTGCGAAATTCCCTGCGCCTAATTGCCCGGACTGGAGGATGACGTTCATCGTGCGGCGGTGCAGAAGTAAGTTTAGTTAACGGTAATCAGGTAACATTTCAAATGAAAGGCTGCTTCATTGATGTGACATACAAAGAAATATGACATGCTGCTTGCTTTAAGTGACAAATTAAGAAACATACGATCGTGTAAATTCCTATATATTGATGCACTTTTTACCTGGCCTATTTTATATGGACCATTAGGTGGCAAATTTCAAAACGAATGGACTTTTTTCAAACATGAAAATTTCACACTTACCTTTTTTCCTTTCTTTGATAGAGGGCGTGAGGGAAAGGCGGGCCTGGACCTCACGCCTGATATGTTCGGGTCCTTCCTCACAGGTACCCGTCCGAAGAGGGTGCATGCCATCCTAGCTAAGGATGCACCTCTCAGCCGGATGGATAGCTGTGAGGCGAGGGACGGGCTGCTGGTTCAGCTGTTCACCACCAATGGGAAGCGGTCTGGAGATCTGGCCAACCTGGAGCGCAGTGACCTTCAGCGTGCCCAGACCGCTGGTCCGGAACCGACCGAGCTGAAGGTATAAAAACTGAACAATCTCATACATTTTAAGAACCCACTAAATTACCTTTGATGATATACGATTTTAAGTTATGCTAGCTCTTCTTAAATAACTTTTGCAAGAAAAGTAAACAACTCGAGTAAATGCAGAATGTGATTGCAATCATTTTTCCAAATATTGAACTACTTTTCTGTTCACAGATTTACGACCACAAAGAGGCTCGGTCGGGGAAGGAATGCCCATTGCTGGTGACAACGTCCCTCATTCAGGACCTGAGAGCATACGTGGCCAAGGGGAGCATTGACGGTGGGTTGGAGCAGATCTTCACCACCGACAAAGGCAAAAAGCTCTCCTCGACGGTGAGTGTTGACAAACCATGTTTAAAAAGCCTTTCTCTTTCTACCTTGCATATAAAACATATCGACCAAAGCATTTTTCATGAGAGTGGTTAGTAAGTTACAGGCAAAGGCTGCGCAATTTCTGATTTAGTTATCGTATGTATGTTACCCCAATTTGTGTCATGTAAAAAAACGCACTGCTTTGAAAGTAAAATCAGGTTCTGAGAAAGGGACCACAGTTTAATTCTTTTGTTTGTTTTCTAGACCATGGCCGTCAAGAGGGAGTGGCAGAAACATGCCATCAACATCGGGAAAGTCCTGCCCCCCCTCACGGCCACGTTATGCAGGAAGATGGCGGTCTCCCCGCTACGAGACGCTGGAGGAGACCGCCAGCAGCAGAGGGTGCTCGCCAAGCATATAGCCCACAACCCGAGGACGGCGGATATTATGATAGAGCGAGCCAGAAGAAGGAGAGAGTCGGCGTCTGGGAGAAAATCAACCAACTTTACAAGGTAAAATATCCACATTAAGTGATGCGGAGGGTCGTTTCTATCCTCTATATTGTAGCACTGAAACGTTGCTTCTGAAAAGAAATTAATGATGAATTTGCTTGTACCTGAAGAATTTTTTAAATACTACTTGTCATTGCAGGTGTCTAGCCAGCCCCCAAATAATGACCCCCCAGACGCTGACAGTGACCTCCCGTCTCCGCCGCCAAGAGCACCCTCTGAGTGCGACAGCGACGGCCCCGTTGTAAGTTTTGTAACGTTTCTATGAAATTAAGGCGATTTTGGGCAATCTAAATTTAAGGACTGATTTAAAAGAAAAGATTAACAATTGGAATCGATATTATGTGACCTGGTGGTCTAAAAAAATAAAATGTTTAGGTCCGAATTAAGGTCTGGCGAAATTGAAATATTATGCATTTCTCTATTTTACATCTGTATAATTATCCCAATTGTGGTTGTAGCCTCCTTCACCTGACCATCATCATAGGACGGGGTCATGTTTTTCGTGAACAGTCGCTGTCGCCTGCACCGCTGCACCACACAACTTAATTTATTTAACTTATTGTAATTTATTTGTATAAATGGATTTGTATATATTTATTTAATAACTATTTAACTTGTCTGTAGAAATGGTTTTGTATATATTTATTTAATAACTATATAACTTAGAAATGGTTTTGTATATATTATTTAATAACTATTAAATTTATTGTAATTTATCTGTAGAAATGGTTTTGTATATACTTATAATTGTAATTTTTGTATACTGATAATTTTGTAAAATAAAATAATTTTGATGATTTAGTTTAAATAAATGTTGTAAATATCTAATATACGTGGTTTCTTTGTGATTCATTAAGATGCTGGTAGGAGGTCGACAAATTTCGATACAAATTTAAGGACCGAAATTGAAAATTTTCTTTTCCATTGCCATCTTTTGAAGACAGATTGAGCAACAATTTTACTTGATATCTTTCACTACGCATTTGCCTTCAAAATCGTGCAGAAGTCGCTTGGCTATCGGCGATACTTTTCAGATAAATGATGCTCTCCCAAGGCAAAAACTCGGTCCTTAATTTTCGATCACAATTTTTCGACCTCAACTTTAAGCAAAGTCAGACAGCCGAAACAGAACACTTGACGAAGTGAAACATTGATTCTATAATTTTTTCATCAGCAGCACTCGATTTTCAGTATTAGATATGCTATCTTAACTTGATAGGAGCAGTACAGTCACAATTTTTCGACCTCAACTTTAGCATAGTAGGAGAAACTCAAACATAACACCAGACGTTGTTTTTCTTCTTTTCTTTTCATCAGCAGTGGTCGATGTGCACATTTTTAACGGCTAACATTAAACCCACTAAGACTGAGACATGAAATTGTTATCTAAATTTAAGGACCAAAGTTGGAAAAAATGACATTCGCAGCATATTCATCAATATTATTCGAATTCCAAAGCAAGACGATATAAATCACTTGACATACTAGTCAACGATATTGATAATTTTGTAATGGATTGAAGGTTTCACTATGTTAAAATGTTCAATATGCTATTCTATGCATTGTGGCAAAAGATCTTTCAAAAATAATAAAGAACAACAAATTTATAAATATCGAGTTGAGCAAAACAACTTATTTCGGTCCACAGATTATCGACCTGTCGGGTCGATATATTGTGATCCAAATTTTAGGACCGAAAATAACTTATACATGAACAACCTACAGAATGCGTAATGTTTACAGTACCATCACAAAAGTGAACATGGAGTTTATTTGCATCATACTCATCAATATTATACCAAAGTAAGACGATATAAATCACTTGACATACGAGTCAATGATGAGGGGCCGTCAGGCAACTGCAACTTCTTACCGCACTATGAAACCAAGTAAAATGATTTCCAAATCTGTGTTGAAACTTATTGAATCCCCTTAGCAGCAAGTATTCATCATCAGAAGTTAATTGCACACATGCCATTAATCAGAATTTAAATGTAGAATTATCTGTTGGCCTCTCGTCATTATTTATAGACACCAGGAACTATCTATAACCGGGGGCTGAACACCTTCCCTAAACCATGGGACAAACCTTTCTGTAAAAAGGAATATATATGAGACGAATATCCTATTTCAAATGTTTTCATAAAGTGTATAAAAAAGAGAACTTTTTGTGATTATTTTTACATTACGTCTTTGGCCACTTTTTTCTAGACCATGCATAGATATATATACATATATATATATATATATATGCATACTCTCTTTCCCACGTTCACTGTCTTAGTAAGTCATATAAGCCATCAGACACGATAAACATTTCTGGCAAAACCACTACGTATACATGTAGAATATGTGGCAGGTATGGAACGTGTTGAGATACTTGATAATTATATGTTTTTCAATACTTTACAGAGATTACAGTATACTTGCTTATGGAACATTTTATGGTGAGATTACTTTTCTTTAATCAGTTCCTTTCGTCCGTAGTTATCGGTAGCACGCCCCATTTTTATAACGTAAACAAAATACCCTTTTCCCGTTTTCAATGCGTATTCCGATTCTATCTGAAGTCGAAAAT